AAAGAAATGAAAGCCCTGTAACGCCGAATTAGAGCGCAGCTCTTGAGGAGAAGGAGGGGAAGGTACGGAGAAGAGGCTATGTCCCTCCTACTCTCCTCCCGTTGAGGGGAAAATTTTCTGCAAAATTTAGCGGGGAAATATTGCCGCTAAATTTAGCGGCGAAATTTTCCGCTAAATTTAGTGGGGAATTTTTTCCGCTAAGAATAGTGGGAACAGTTTTTCCGCTAAATTTAGGGGGGAAATGTTTTTCCGCTAATTGAGCGGGGAAATTTTTTCCGCTAAATTTGGTGGGGAAAATTTTCCGCTAAATTTGGCGATGAAATTTATCTGCTACATTTAGCGGGGAATTTTTTTCCACGAAATTTAGCGGGGAAAAGTTCCCGCTAAATGTAGCATTCAAAATTTTCCGCTAAATATGGCGAGGAAAGTCGTCCACTAATATCAGAGGGGAATTTTTTTTCGCTCAATTTAGTGGGGAAATTTTTCCGCTAAATTTAGCGGGGAATTTTTCCGCTATATTTAGCGGGGAACTTTTTCCGCTCGCGGGGAAGATTTATCTTTAAATTTGGTGGGGAAATTCTCTCATAATGCACCGCCCAGTTCCACCGACGGCGACGGCGACGCCGACACCGCTGAAGCCGGAACCGGGCGCCTAAAAGCTGCGCTCTATAACATATAGTGGTACGAGTCGACTTGTAATACTGTACTGCCCGTCGGCTCAATTTTTGCTCCCATATTTGAGATGAAACTTGTTTTCTGTGCAACGAACAAGATTTTTTTAGAAGGCTAATTAAGGAGAATGCGTGAATCCTCGAGGGGGACAATTGTGTACGAGAGCCATCTTTGGTGATCAGTGATCTGATGAAAGAGTTTTTCCATGTGTGAGGGGGACTTGTAAACGTGGGGGCAACTGGGGGATCGAAACGGGAAGCGGTTACTTGGAAGTAGGAAATTCAGCTTAAGCTTTAGCGCTTCGGAATCCCCTGTGTGTTAGACCTTGGAGTGCTTGTTGTTCGGGTGGCGGTTTTCTTTCCAAAAGTGGGGAGCCAGGAAGTGGCTTATGCTGTCTGGGTAGAACTCGTTGGTCGTCTTGTTTATGCTTCTGAGTTCCTTTTTTCTCTTTCTTCAAGTGTTTGGAAGTCTATTGGCGTCCTCAAATCAATAAATTTTAGCTGAGTTTGAGATTTTGTTGTCTCCGTCAATTTTTTTTATTGTTCCCCATCTCAGGGACTACAAGATGCCGACTAATCTACGCCGTTAAACTGTGTGGGGAAACATTATTATCGTTTTCTAGCAAGCAATGTAGCGCAGTGTACATCTGGAAAAATTGGCATCCACATGGTTTGCTTGGCTGCAATCGGCGATGGCTCAACCATCGCTGTTCGACGACAACTCTTACTCGGCGACTTAGAGGCCGTTATACGTATTCGGTATTGTGAGTATTGTTGATGATCTTAGAGGACACTGATGCACCTGCTAAAGGACTAGCCTATAAGATTGGCTCCACGTTACGAGATCATTTAGCGTAAACTACGCTCTGTTTCAGCGTACGCACGACCTGACCGTAGCGGACGCTTCCGTCTTAGCCAATTCAGCCCTGTCCATGAAGCACGTGGTACGCTCTTCGGCCGTCACCGCTGCGGCCGCTAATAAGATTCAATGTACCAACAGAATGAACTCGCCAGAAAGAATTTTTTTTTTCGCATACGCTGAGAGGGAACACGCCTTATTACAGTGTTTTGAGATCTCATGTGCGTGGCTTAGATTATCTAGTAAGCGTCGAAGGTGTCGTGTTTGTAATTTGTGTCTACGACTCCGCGATTCGAGATTCTGCGGATGCTAATGTGTAGGACGAAGCGTAAATGCAAGACCCTTATTTCGTTTCATTTATCCTTTGTCTTTCAAATGTAACTTACCAGTAGCTTGTTTGCGTCGTTTATTTTTATTTTTGAATTTTTGGTGTTTAATAACGCGCATTGCCACGCATCGTGTTTTGGACTAACATCATGCCAGGCCGTTCCAGTGCTTTCAACCAGCTTTCCATAGCGGACTCTTTACATTTGCTCTATTTCCCTCCATTGGTTTTATTCAATGGCATCGTGATTAACGTCCAAAGGGTTATTAAGCATTTTTTTCTATTCCCGCGTGTTGTTTCTTTTTTAATAGTAAATCACAAAAGCAGAGCAGAAACAGGAAGATATATCTGTAGCTTGTCCATCTGTGCGAGTTGTTGCCTATACTCACTCGGCGTTCCAGAGAGACGTCTGTCAACTGTGGGCGGCTGGAAGTTATCGCCCATAACAACATTTACAACACCATAAATAAATCTTAAAAGAAAAAAAAAACAAAAAAAAACGTATCCTTTTTTTTTGTTTAGGTTTTCTTCCCACTCTTGACCTTGAAGCTCGGAAGCCCATTTTTGTGATAATAGGGAGTTTTCGTAGATCGCTTCCGCCATCCAGCAGGGCTCTCCGCAGCCCGCTACGATACCCGTAACTCTTCAGTCAAGGCCATCGCCGCGCAGGCGCAGTAGTGGTTTCTTCGTTGTGAAGGGCTTAGTGGAGGAGGAATTGCAGTCTAAGAAAACTCCCTATTGCCTCATTATTTTTTGACCGGAAGGGAGGAACAAGACGCGTGCTGAGGGAGCGGTCTCCTTCTAGTCACTCTACCAATGTACGGTTCAGTGAAGGATCTTATTCGACTGTTCGTGTATTTTTCGTTTCGTAATTTTTCGTATGATACAATTTCTAAATGTTCTGTTTCTTGGTGGCATAGTCAACGCAGCGAAACAAAAATGTCAGAGGTTTTTAGTGGTGTCGTGTCATAATGACAATAATATCCACCACAAGTTTGAACCACGCTACGCCCAATACGAGCACCACAATGATTTTTTTTTTTTTTTGCAGCAAGTTTTAGTTTTGAAAATAAACGCCTAATGTTTTTGAGCGAAAGGTTGAAGGCAAACAGTTTTGAAAGCAATTCAAGCTGTCATATTAGGGCTCTAGGTACAAATTTAAAATGCAATTTCGGAAAGCCATAGCAAAAACGTCCCCAAAACAAAGGCACATTTGCATTTTATGCAGCCTCTTCTTATTATTGTTCTGGATAAAATATGGCACATATCTTTTAGATATGATAGATTTAGATGGGTTAAAATATCTAGCTTAAACATTTTTATAGCCAGGGTAAAACAATTTCTTGACCGTAATGCTTCTACTCCAGTACAGCACCATTTTATATAGCCAGCTATAAAAATGTAACAGACGTGATTGCTTTGAATTGGTAGCACACAACTTTCTATATCTTTTTAACAATAATATGCTGAAATAAACTTGTTCTGCTCATGATGAGGAAATAAGGCCAAAGGTTGCCATAGCTGAACCGTCCTCAAAACAAAGGCACATTTCATTTTATGTAGTTTGTTATTATTGTGGCATAAATTTCTGGAGAAAACATGGCAGATAATTTAGATACAATAAATTTAAGTTATAATCTATAGCTTTAACATTTTTATATCCAGCGAAGTGAGCTCTAGTGATTGCAGGCAGCTGCAAACTGCAGCGAAATAAACATTTTAGAGCTGGGTAGAACAATTTGTTTTTCAGGAATGCTTCTACCCCAGTACCACACGATTTTCTATAGCCAGATATAAAAATGTAACAGACATGAGCGCTTGAAATTGGTGACACACAACTTTGTTAGCCGGCCGTAGATAATTGAATGTTCGCGGGGATTTCGCACTCGAGAAAAACTCCCATATACTCGGCTAAAATAGCTTACTCAGCGTTTGTCTATACTATTTTGGAACATTTATTGCGCTATAGCCACCTAAAGTGAATGATCGCGTGTCTGTAGCATTCGAGTCAGAAATATCTCTATAGTCAGCCAAACAAAATCCTATGGTCGCATTTATTGTATTATAGCAGGTTCAAGAAAACTCAATGGTCAAGATACTATACTTTAAACACTTACAAATTCTATTGCCGGCTAACGAGAACTAAATAAATGTTTAAGCGACTACGGTTTGAAGACATGCGCAGGCTTTCGTACAATGGTCAAACAATATAAGATGGGAGAGATTCTTTACACTGTGTGTCATAAAATTGTTTATAGCTGGATATATTGTTTTTATGATTGACCTTAGAATACAACACCTGGTTATAGCTCACCATCGCAATTTTCATAAACGTCTAGAGACCATTTTTTATACGTTGTCGACTTTTCAGTGTCCGATTTGGGCACGACAGCACACATTGTCCGTTTGGCATCGTCAGCGGGGGAGGGCGAAATCTATAATAAACAGAAAACGGGAGTCCAAGTTATTTTCCTTTTATCAAACAAACCCGGCTCAACACGGGTACATTAACAGTGTCGAGAGGATTTTTTTTCCGGTAGATGGCAATATGAATACCTGAAAGAACTTCCGCAATGATACACGACTTTCAACTCCTCTATTCCCACTTATACAACGCAATTATCAGAACTTAGCTTTAAATTCACGGAAAAATGGCACTTTTGCTGTCGTACGACGGTGTCCCCCCAATGACGTCACACTGTGGTCCCTACTACCAGCACACATCGCTGTAAATCGAGAATTGATTTGTACTTTAGCTGCGATTACAATGCAGAATCGCAATATTTTGTTGTCAATTGCGTCTTCGCTCTTTCTTGCTCCAAGGTAAACAATATATCACATACAAGCTACATCTATTTTGAGTGTTGACATTTTGTGCTGCCCTTCAAATATACGTAGATGCCGGCCACAAGGTTAACATCAGGGCACAAATAGCAACTTCCACATCCTTTATTTCATATAGGTCATGCTGACCTTCCAAACTATAGTGTGCACAATAGAGAAAGCACGTTAAAAGAATTGTTATTTTGAAACCTAGAATGTCTCCTAACATCAAAATGTGCGAGATTTTCTCATTGTCTGTCTTGTCTTACATACAGTCAAGTACAGCTTCATTCGACTCTCGTGAATTCAATATTTTTGCAGAATGTGGCACGCGCTTCTGAAAAGTTTTGTATGGACATATTTCATTGCGGTGCTGTATGGCGCAAGTAAGCATTTATGATCAAACGGTTTGTTTCCCAATAATAATCATGCGATAATATAATATTTGAGAGACTGTAAGAAACAGTATGCTTTTTTCCTCCAAATCAAAATGTGTCCTTCAGCTATTTATTTATTTATTTGCTATATTTTTAGTACTACAAAAAAGCCCTAGGCTTTCTTAGTCATCCACTAAGAAACAACATCACTAATCCACACAAGAAAGCTCTTCAAAACAGGGTTAAAGAAAACCCTCACTGCCCTCTCGAAATTTTTCTTCGGGTCCAAACATTGCAATCACGACAACCTGAGCTAGATTCGAATTTGTTGAAAACCAGTTGCAAACGAGTCATCGGAGCAGTTTTTTACAAAGGAGATAAAATAAGGAGTAAATATGGCTCACCCTCTGAGGAACATTGAAACACACATAGTTCAGTAGCGCCGTCTAGACCACAGGCGCTATTATATTGTTCAAGAACGTATAATACCGAATCATCTGTCTAGTACAACAACATTTTAAGTCAATCAGACTACGAATTATATTGTAGTAAAAAATACACTGGGCTGTAAATAACAATCATAAAACAGGCCTATAAATTTTCTCTAGATATGCTCCACAGTAGACGATTTCAACTGATTTACCCAGCAGATAGGCTGGGTGAATCAGTCATGCGACTTGTTTACCTTAGTTATATGGAATCCAACAGAGTTCCATACGACTGAGGTAAACATGAGGCGGCTTCGCGAAAGAGAACGAATAACATGAGAAAACAAAGTGGTTTCCTAAAGATGTTAGATATACGCGTTACGACAGATAAAACACGTGGAGACTAATTGATAACACGTGTATCCTGGTGATTAAAACAAATCTAAGTGTCTACATAAATACCCCAGTTCCGAGTCAAAAACACACGGCTGATAACAGTAGCATCTAAAGAGTAGCAGGAGTGCTTAATGTCACATTTTCAACCTAGAGATATAATATTTGTTTTTGTTTCGTTTAGGGCAAGACCATTAGTCATGCACAACTTATAGATGGAACACATCACGTTAAAAAAACCCTAGCGAAAAACAGCATACTTCTAGCATACTTCTGACGAACTTAGTACGCAGACGTTTTTCGCAATACTTCTGTCTGAATATGGCCGATATGAAGAACACTCCCGGTGTACTTTTGGCTTGCTTTAAATGTACTTTTAAACCATGGATTGGCTGTGCTAACACTATATTTCTCGTGATCGGAAAATTTGTGCTGAGAATATACTGCACATGCCTAATAAGCGTGCATAAATTTATACTCTCCAAAATTACAAATAAGCAGGTTTAGATACCATAATACGTGAAACAATTAAACCAGAAACTCCTGCATAACAAATTGTAAGTGATGGGACAGGTTTCCGTTTAACTTTCAATTGCTTTTTTTAGATGCGGAGCATCTCTTGCTCGGGTCTATGTCCCGCGGCGTCGTAGTCCGCACTCACACTACGCATGCGCAACTCTCCTCCTTCGCTCTCTCCAACAGCTGCGCGTTACTCTCCCTCTCTACCAGCTGCGTGCACTTCGCGTGCGTTCGCTTCTACTCACACCGCGCGCGCATGCGCAACTCTCCTCCTTTAGTCTCCTCTCCTTCAAGTGTGAATACAAGCTGCGGTAGCGCGCGTTCAGTTCACCGCTGTTGACTCCACTCTGTTCTTCCGATGAAGTGTGATGGAAGCAACAGTCCCGTTAGTTAGTGGGTTGGCGCAAGCAAGCGTCAGCACCACCCCACAAACTAACAGCAACGCTACGTCCACTGAAGACAAAGCAGCGAAGGGCACGCGACGCTGAGCGCAAACGCTTGAAGCGAGCGGCAGACTCTGAACTACGGCAACGAGAAGCGGCGTCCATTCGTCAACGTCGAGCGGCGGATGCTGAACTACGACAACGTGAAGCAGCGGCGGTTCGAGAACGTCGAGCAGCAGAACCTGAGGTTCGGGACCGTGAAGTTCAACGTAAACGTACGAAGCGAGCGGGGGAAACCGACCTTCGAGAACGGGAAGCCGCGTTGGTTCGTGAACGTCGAGCAGCAGAACCTGAGGTTCGGGACCGTGAAGTTCAACAACGTTACTAACACCGTTAATAACTCCGTTAATAACGATCCGCGATGCTCCGCATCACCCCATGGTTCCCCTCGGGAAGATGGTGTAATTTGTTTTTACAGGAGCTTTTTATTTTTTTTTTATTTTTTACTTTATACGACTGTTGTGCCTAGTTTGGAATTATGCTCTCCCGAGAACCTCGCGAATTTCGACAAATACTTTGATCTACACACGAAATGACATGGACACAAATTTTCGCGCATGCAGATACGGTGTATAAAGTATGACAAAATAACAGCAGAAAAAAAAATTAGTAAGAGTTGCAACAAGGATACAAAACAGCAACAATACCACACCGCGTGAGTTTTTATCAGGCTTCGGGCGAGTGATCGAGACACGCCAAATAAACTTGGCGGCCTACTTATGATGAAGCGACAGCGAACTCCAAACCTAGAGTCACACAGCAGAACCATATGTCAGACATTTGGAACCACTCAACCGGACTCCACAGCGCTTGAAACAAACAGCGGTGGGTGATACAAAAGGCACTCTCGCTGATCGCAAGCCACGAACTGGAGGGCAGCCTGAATCTCTGGCAAATGAAGGGGAGGTCGCCCGGAAGTCGAAGCACTCGGTGAAGTCCGGCTGACGTGCGGGATGGTGCACAGAGCGGGTGACTAGGGTTCACACAGCCGGCGGTTTACAGCTTCATCAAGTCCGCTCGAGACGGAGCTGGCGGCGGCCGAGTTTGTGCTCCATCAGCTGCCGCCGACATTCCTGGCGTCGGTAGTCATGATTTCGAACTCCCGAACGGCCCTTCACCACCTACAAACTCGACGACACGTCACAGCCAGGACAGCGTCGTCTTTCGTAGTAGACCGCCGATTTTCATTGGTTTCCCGCACACTGCACGATCCCTCTAAACATGGACGCAGATCGATTGGCCAAGATAGTCTACGTGTGGACACCGTGTGCTACCACCGCAAAAACGGCGACAGCACGGAGGGTTTACTTTTCGACTACGACTTTGATAAGCTCGCGCCGCTAGCGCTGCTCGAGGATGGGCTCTTCCCATCAAAAATAGCCCTACCTGGCCGGTGGCTCGCTGATGAACCTCCTCCTCTTGACGAATCCACACCCGCATAATTCCTCGAATGCACGTGAGTCCTGACCGAACTGTAAATATAAGCATTTCATCAAAACCAGAAACATAAATTTGAACAATTGCTCACCCAAACACCCGAAGGCCTGGCGTTGATCTACAAGCCTAAAGAAAATTAATTACCTCAATCCCTTCGCGCCGAACTGCCGAGCTCAACCTGTGGCCCTATGTTGCAAGTTTTGGACTCCAACGGCGACTATGGAGAAGGAAATGACGTCAACGCGCAGCAAATGCAGTTTGGATGTTGATTGATGAGAGATCAGTCGCATAGGTGCCGCGACAGAAACTTTGCCTAAAACTTTGCGGGGAACCTGAATTGGTGCATAGGTCACGTGACGTCAATTTTCCGCTAAATTCAGCGGGGAAAAAAGAAATGGTGCACAGGTCGCACGAAGTAAATTTTTTTCCGCTAAATTAAGCATAGGAACCGAATTCGTCACTCTTTCTGCCAACATTTTGTGAGGAATCTGAATTGGTGCATAGGTCGCATGACAAATGTTCCGCTAACTTTAGCGTGGAACCTGAATTGGGGCATAGGTCACGTGAGGTGAATGTTTCCGATAAATTTAGCAGGAAAACTGAATTGGTCAATTTTTTCGCCGAATTTAGCATAGTGTAGAGGCTGATTTTCGGTGAGGCCAACACTTTTGCCAGTACAAATATCGAGACAGGCCTGACAAATTCGCTGCAGTATTCACAACTCCAGCGCCAGATAGAACGCAGAGCGGTCATTATTAGATGGCGGAAGAAACGGGATAAATTCTCCAAGATTTTCCGTGCACCTGTTCGCTGACGCTGGTCAGTGCGCTAAAAGTAATTTATTTCTCTACAAATACAATTATCATACCTTTCCACTCACATAACTGGTTTCCCAAATACCCTTATTATCATATTAATAACCCCGAAAATCATGACGGAGATGCTAATGTACGGTAGGAAAACGAGCATGTTAATGTTTAAAAGTTGCGGAAACCTCAACTTACGAAGCTTTGTGGAGGGTGGGGACTTTCCCAGCACCAGCCAAGTCACTGTTTGTGGAAAAATATATTTGAGAGTGATGAAGATATCGTGGTGTTTGCGATTTGCCTGGCCATTAGTACTCTAAGATGTGAGCTGCGCACGGTGACGGCCAAGCTTTGAGGTCTTTGCGTCACAGGCTCAAAACTTGCTGCTTACCGTCGCGGTTTTATTGTATTGCAACACGTCATCAAACTGCGCTATGGTTATTGATAGGAGGCTTTAGGATAGCATTACCACGGGCTTCCATAAACTGTGCATCATTGCAACCAAAAGTCTGCGCTGCTCCTTTGATGCATAAATTTCAGTGCGCGCTAAGAGGGTTGCCGTGCTGATGCAGCGTGCGGTAACCCTATGCTGAAACTGCCCATGAACATAAACTGTGTGTTGAAAGGATTTATTTATTGCTCTATAAAATAGCAATATTTTAATAGTCCATACATTTGTGTACCGTGTTATTTGCAACGTTGCGACCCACCTCGCCAAAACTGCCCGTTTTAATCTAGACACGAACGGTTAGGGAACACAGACGCGCTTAAAATGCTTCGAGTGTTTCTTTATTTCCGCTGCAATTATCTGAAAGCAAGGACGCGTACTGTATCTTTTGAAAGTGGCTGGACAAAATGGTCGTCACGCTCTTTTTGACGTCCTTAAAATTCCCGATATGTAGTGATCGATATACATTGCACGACCAGTTTTCTCCTACTTAGCGCAAGTAATAAAATTTCCGTAGATCGAACGAAAGAGTTCTACACTAGGGCGGGAGCGTTTGCCGTCACGTTGAACGCAAATTGAGCTAAAGGAGGCCACAAGACCGGAAATCCGCAGCGTATACCATATATAAAAAGACCCTGAATGAAATTAGACATCCCGATCGCTTCGTGCAACGCTGTTGCGAGGCGAAACACGCGAATTCCTAGTTTAACGCGACAACTTTTCTGTTTTAAACTGTCTCGTGCATGAACAGGCCAACCAGAACTATCCTGCAATAGCAGCACCAAGGAACCAAGGCCGACAGTCCCTGCCCCCGTCCCCGCGCCGCCGCCGCCGCTTGTGTCCCCGGTCCTCTTGTTCTCCGATAATACGCGAGAGGGCGAGTGGCGCGCTGGAGTTGCAAATAATGTGAAGGTTTATGAGATCATCCCCAAATGTTTGTGAAAACAAAACTACGTGATCCATGTACGCCATCGCAAGCTCGTGCTTTGTGTCGCCGAGGACAATGTACATTATGCTCTGAAAGCTGGCATGTGGGTGGGACAAACCAAAGGGAAGGTGAGTTTATTCGAAGAACCCCCTGTTGCAAATGAATGCACAGTCTTCTGCAGGTCACCCGGGTGAACTTGTATTTGAAGAAATTTACGGCTGTGGTCGAGGGTTATGAAAACAATCGTGTTTTCTTCTAAGGAAGGACATCACTGAGGAAATATTGGGGAAGGGGGAATCTTTCTCTGAGTGACACATTGTTTAGACGCCTGTATTTAACACAAAGTCTGGGACTGCCTTCCTTTAATAAAGCAATTAGGACCACCGGCGTAGTCCATGTGCCTTTTAACAGGCGTACTGCGCCTGCGTCAATCATTTCTGTGAGTGCCGCATCGAAGAGTTCACGATTGGGGATAGATAAAAACAGATCCATTAAAAAAAAAAAAGAACAGATCATCTGTTTTTTACATCAGTCGCTCTATTTTTATATGGAGATGCATTAACCGTTTTTCTTCTTCTTATAGCCCTTGGAGAACCACCCAGAATGGTATATCCCCGTTTACTGGAGGCACGGAGTTCCAATAATTCTCTATCGCTCTACATCAATGACGAAATAACTCTAAATCTCGAACGAGCCGATATTTTTCCTGAGATGTTTGTGCTGCAGTACCCCGAAGGCGAAGGACAAGTACACGAATATGTGAGTACGTCTTTAATTGCCGCGTTTTATTCTGACGCAAGTAAAAAAACTAAGCGTATTAAAAGTTCGTTTCCTGCTACATTTCAGATGAAAGGAGCAGAACTTAATAACCTGGTATATCACGACACGGATCAGATGTCCACTGTATCTATAGAAAGGGATGACGGATTCTACGTGGTAATGAATGAAATATTTATGATTGTCTTTTACTATATCTGTGATACACAACACATTCAAAGTAAGTGTTTCCTTATTTTGAATCTGTTGCGGCCCTCAAAATACCTCGTGTAATATGGGGCGCACTTCAGAATTCTATACAAGATAATAAAACACACAATTCTATGTTTAAAGGGTTTGCAGCCAACATAATGTGCAGTTTGCTGACGTCGCACAATTCTTAAATTTTTAACGACGGCTGCTATAATTAAAATATTCTAGCTAAAAATCAGAGAATAATTAGAATAAATTAAGTTATGCCAGGAATCTAAACATTTAAAAACTTGCTCCTTCAAAAAAAACAAAAAACAATAACATGTTTAATGTTATAAACAAAGGGAAGTGTACGTACATGAATTGTCTATCTGTATATTTTAATTAGATTTTGATGATCACAGTTCCCCTCACATAACTGCTTTCATAGATACAATTTGCTTTTGCCATATTAAAAACCCCGAAAATGAAAAATGTCTCATCACTGCGTTGCACATTCAGGCATGAGGTGGTCATCGTCTTCCACCAACGACAATTCAGGTTTTTAATGTATTGTTTTAAATAAAATTAAATTGCCATTGAACCTGAATAACCGGTCACGCCGACGGATATTGTGTTATGTTTCCTCCGATTGTCGTCACGATAACGACACAGTATTCAAGGATGTCTTCCAGGCGACTCTGTGAAAGTCACTTCTGTCATGTGTTGACATACGCAACGATTTGAGGTCGTTGTTTTTAATCCAGTCAATGCCCTTATAAATATGTCCGCTACTGCGAGGAATGTCAAAAAAGAAAGCGACCTCTAAAGAACCTCAGTGGTTTCTTTCTGCCACATGCACCACTGCTTCACCGGTTCGAAGTACAGACTGAAAACTTTCTTTGTGGGAGGAGATACACAAGAGCGACCTTTTGTTTTTGAGAACATAAAGAAGACTGGTTCATTCTCACTTTTTTTTGCGACACAGACGGTACGGAGAAGAAAAAAAAAACAGGCGTGGGTGAAACGTGAGTTGTTAGCTAAAGACGGAGTCGCTTTGTCCCAAGTGAAGGACACACCGGCTCAGATAGCGGATGCAGTCGTTGGAAACCAGCTCTTGAAATGATATCCGATCACCTATGAGTGAGCCATTATTCCAGAAAGATCGCGGACATTGCCGGGCGCTTCAAGTGTATATATTGTAAAGTAGAATAACAGAATGCGAAATACAACAACACTTATTTAGGGTTGTGGGCTTCGACATTCTAGGACCACTTCCCGCTTCCACCACTGAAAATGAATGAATATTGGTAGCCCTCAAGTACGCTACTAACTATATTAAAAAGCAGTTCTCAATTAGAATGCCTAATCCGTTTCCCCTTTTCTTCCACCCAGCATCGTTTTGCGATATGAAGCTCAAACTCACATTGGTAATTGTGGTCACTGGCTTTATACCACGGAGTAGCAGAACTGCTCTCTGCAAGAAGAAAAGAAACTTCATTTTCTGCAGACCACGGAGAGGATCATTTATGTAAAAAAAAAATATCCCAATAAATGAAAAAAAATATCAGAACAGGATTAGGCCAAAACGAATTCGATGTAGCAGGGTCAATGGGCATGGCGTATCTCTTTCCGATTGTTTCTGCACACGACACAGTCTTCCGATCTAAACAAAATATAAACGCCATTTGCTGTGGCCAAGATCTGCTGTCTCAGCGTTCTGCAAGAAATTATATTCGCCGATGTTTTTCGCTGTGTCTGTAACATCGATAATCAGAAGGCATCCCCATACGTTACCACAGAAAACGCCCTCAATGTGCGTTTAAATCACAGCTTCGGTCCCTAACGAAAGAAAACAACGGCCGCGGAATATGAGGTCCCAACCACCATATTTGGAGCAGCGCAAACACTCTAAGGAGCACGTCTGAGTTCGGCGCACAAATCTTCGTCATCGCGCACCCTCGCCTACACTTACATGAGAAAGACCTTACTTCCGACGGCCAGCAACGACCGTGATGACGAGGACGGAATCCTCAAGCATATCCAGGTGGTATGATGGGTGCATTTTACGCATGGAAGCGCTTACGCGGTTCTGCCTCCCCTCACTGAAGACGTCAACACATCGGAAGTGCAACTCCCGGCGCTTACCCGAGCCGCCCAGTATAGGTCCACCAAACTTTCAACCCCAAGGATAACCTGCATCAGCTAGCTTCTACAGTCCACCCCAGACCAAAGCAAAGGAACGAACGCAACTGACTCGTTTCCCGCCCCAACCCGACAACAACTATTTTTGCAGATGACCGAGAAGGACTTTATGCGGATTATGTCTGAGAGGTTGGAGAACGGTTGTCATTGTCCGCAAAATCGCGTCGAGGGCCGTCAGACGTCCTTCCCCTCCTTCGTTTCCCGTGAATGTCGAGGAGAAACGCTTGAACGGCCAGGCACTTACCAGCCCCATTTCTCACAGCGGAAGACAACACAGAAAGGGTACGCAGCATGAGAAAATAAAGTGGAAACTTTCAAGAGGGGCCAGAAAACGTCGTATCCAAAACCGCTAAACAAAAGTAGAGAAGCGCGCTGAGCGGGTTTTTGCAGTCCAAGAGAATGGCAGAAATTTCTCGCTGATACAGGGCGCGAGAGTCGCACCAGCCGTATCAGCATCAGCAATATGGCGGCGCCCTAGGAGAGTTTATTGGAAAGATGTATCTGGAGGAATGGCTTCGCACAGGTTTTCTACGGACTTCCAAAGATCTACAGACCTAACGCTCCTTTCTCACCAATCGTGGACTTAACCACCTCGCCCCTCCGAGCGCTGTCAAACTACCTTCACCGCACTTTGTTTCCTCTTGTTGGAAAAACGGAGACCTTTGTACTCAACTTGCGCACAAATCTCTGCGCACAAATTGAGGAGCAAACCATCATTGCCGGTCTTAAAGAATGGCTATACCAATAGTTTAATTAACATCATCACCAACCGCCAAGGTCGTGCTTGTCGGCTCCTACAACCACAAAAAAAGCTCCCAGTCCCGCCCTACCAAACGCATCACTGTACCCTACGTGACCAGAAAAACACTGGCACGGGTTCTGGCATTACAAGGAACACAGATGGCAGATAAGCCTGTTTCAAATCTTGGACGCCATATGCCATGGCTAAAAGATCGCCATTCCAAAGAAAGAACAAAGGGCGTCGTTGGCACGACTCCCTCCGTTGATTGTCCCGCCACCTACATCGGAAAAACTCAACAATAATTCTAAAGAATCGGCCAGCACAAAAACAACTTGCGCCAATTCAACCACGAGCGCAGCGCTGTTGCTGAGCACTGCGATGTCAGAGATCACCGTATTGATTTCGAGAAAACATCCGTCCTATCGATTGAGACAAACCCCCGGAGGAGACTTCCATTAGAATCATGGCATATTAAGACTACAGTGCTCTAGAATCCAAGGTAGTGTTTGGACCGGCGCGGCTCGGCAATGGGAGCTTGTGAGGCTGCGCCTGTCTGCAATAATCGCGGCGCTGCAGTCGACAGGGCAGCAGAAAGTAGCTGCAGCCCGCACGTGCAGCCGCTCGTGCTCGTGCACGCGGAGCACGCGCACAATCACCAGCATACTGACCCCACGGCCGATGCGCCGGTGTCGACCCCTACCGCGATTACACCACACGCCTCACGCAGCCGCTCCGGTCCCGAAACTACTCTGTATTTTAGTACACGGTAATTCAGACCATACAAGGAAACATCAACAGGTGCTTGGCGATTTAGCTACGGTATACACCAACGGACTCCGGCATATGACGAAGGAAACAAAACAAAAAAAATCACAACCTTTTAGAAGAGGTAGAAGCTGCGAGTCAGCGTTCATACCCGCGTTCAGAAGAAGCTACTCCTCAACGGACACGTTTGCCCCTGATGAAGTAGTCAAGTTGGTTCCAAAACGTAGGGTCCCTTAACATTTAGGGTTGGGTTGGTGTATATTTCACTTCCTCGTAGCGAACCTGCACATTGTACCTAATACCAAGCTGAACCACTGCAGACAGTACATAAATATCCCACGATAAATTTAACTCCTCTTTTGTAGGGTTGCCCTCACAGAATTTTTAAAAAATATCTTGAAATAGACGTCTGGTCACGCGGAAAAAAGTAGTGAAGGCTTTACATGGAAATAGTTTGGTATCCTAGAGCAGGCAGACAAACTTGTTTCCCTAACAATTTGAATTGATTTATGACTAAACAAAAAGTTTAACGCGCCGAAGGACCTTAATGAAAAAGCGTTCGTTCGTGTTTGCGTTTTTCGTGAGTCCGTCTGTTTTGCGTTTTTTATACCTCTACTTTTTTGCTTAGAAATAATCCACTGTGGTTTTTTTCCTCCTTTTTTAGCGACAGCTAGTTTGTCTGGCAGTAACTTGGGTCCAAACGTAAGAGAAAAATTACGTCTAATAGAAAGACACATTGAAACATAACAATATTTCAAATTAATATTTGTATATTTCATTAAACTGAAACATGTCAACTGAACGGCGCACAGAAAAGGCGCTATTTAGACGTCAACAAATATGCACAATATTTGGACAGAATTGCTTAGATACGCAAAAGCAGAGTTCGGGTTTTGCACTCATAAAATTATAGAAAGTGGTGAGGAACCTGCTTACGATAAGATCTTGATCCGTGCTATGTTGTAACCCATATGCATGTATCGTTTTAGTAAAAACGACTAACCTTTGTGACGCTTTACAGAACGGAATCATTCAGAACACATATCGAATAACTCCCATGTACCACATGGAACGATCGGAAACGGGAATACTTGCTCACGAATTGGTTAAACTTGAGGAGCCTCATTCATCTCTTCGCGGGGACTGTGAGTAGTTAAAGTTTTCACTTTTGTGAGTGGTTAGTTTTGTCTAACAAACACTACCTTGTCATAAGCGTTTCACTGAAGATATAATTTTTTTAACACTCCAAGAAATATAAGTGAAACAAACTTTGGTGTAAAGATATCACAATGAGAATATACTTTCAAGTGCACGCTTTAATTAACAGAATAGGTCCACGTGCCTAGCTCGCTGAGACGAAGTTGAAGACTACAATTAGCATGTGAAGCTAAGAGAAGAGGAGAGCGTTATTGTAAATAAACATAAAGATGGCGACTGTACTAATATGACCTGCCTTCCGGGCCTCATATCTTGGAACACTGCAAAATGCTCATCCGACAAGGTTTCAGTAAGCTGAAATCAGGGTGAGATGTGGGCTACATTTGAAATCGACACTCGTGAGTCATGACCGGGGTAGTCTTCGCTGCACTAAATGTCAGCCGCAAGGTGAAATGCACGCTTTTCTACCACAGACGGAAAGCGTCAACATTTTCGTTCGATATCTATTTGGCAAGTTTTACCTTCATACCAACTACAGCGCTGATGAGACTGCTGTTTGAAGAATCGATTGCACTCTGTTTCTCAGGGTGCTCGCACTACAACACAACAGATGATCCAGCAGTCGGAACTATTGAGGACAATCGCTTCGACCTGGCAAACGGTGAACAAGACCCACCTAGATGCAAAGCCCAACACCTTTCAGGGAGGCTCAAGCAGGCTTCACCGCTGGATTAACTTTTAAGACTAGGCATGTGGGCGAAACTACTAGAACAACAAATGACGACAAGTTTGGGAACTTGTGCATCTTTCTTAGTGGAATGGCCGAGAAGTGCTACGAGCTAGGAATGCTGTCACATAAAGATGAATCGCACCAGGAACTGAAAGAAGACTTCCTTTTCTCGTTCGGCGAAAACAAGGTTGAATCTGGGGAATAATAGTTTTCATGAACAAAGAAGCCCCTCCCCCCCCCCCCCCCCTCCTTAAATATTTCATTTGTGAAGAGGGTGCTTCTGCAACTCGCGGATTCAAGGCTACCGTAGTCTTTACTCGCTCCTCGTATTATTCATAGGTTGACAAAGGAACTACAAAAGCGCATCCAAGGGAAGATCTCCTCGACCACTGCAGAAATTTCAAAAATGGAACAACTCTCTGGATTTTGCATTACAAATCAGTGACAAAATTCATGCAAGCTGCTCAGGGCTGACGAAGCCCACGCATGTGCCAATATATCTGTACCTTCAGGCAGCGGGACCTCTGCAGCAAAATATTTCCACATACTGTTTGAACAAATGCCCCTTCCTGGTGATTGGAGACAAAGAGCGACACTTCCACTGTCATTATTATGTCTCGTTGCGTTGTCACGCATGAGCGCAGCAGGAACGCGCGATTGTTGATAGTCGCCACGCCAAAAGCGATATCTTCGGCATCGCAATTTTTTCTTTCATTTGTTCTTGGCAGCAGCCGATAAAAGTCGGTCGCGCTGTCACCGGTAGTGTTCTTCGGTTTTCGTCTGTCGGCAAGCTTGCCTGGATTAAAAAGTCCGTCTTCCCTGCTTCCGGTGCCGTCTTCTCGTCGTGTCGCTTCCGGTGTCGCTTCTCGTCGAAATGCAGAAAAAAGGTTTTTTTTTTCTGCATTTCTGCCGTCTTTTTTTAATTTCTGCCCAATCATACGGGGAGAGATTATTTTTATAAACAACTCTAACCTACCCTATGTTACGGTTGACGCAAGTTGCAACAATCTACAAGCCTTAAATGAATGCGGGGCTACCGCTGTTGTGATTCAGAGGAATAAAGTTAAGAACGCCAACATATTCTTCGACGACCCCATTGAGGTTCTGAGCTACGACAGTGAAAAACAATGTCTACAACCAGTGGATGCAAATAACATTGGCTTACAGACGAAAACACGCTAAAGCCAAACCTTTGGTAAAACAAAAATGGCCTATCAACTGCTTCTGCCCAATCATTGAGGAGCTACTACTTAACATCTATTGAACAGGTCAAGTGAGCGTAGGCAGATTCTGGGATACTCACTCAACCTTAGAGAAATAAATTCTCCAAATACCTTAGTCAGTAAAGGAGGTGACACAAATGTATCCCAAACATCAATGCGCCAGAGTTTACATGGAAGCGACTGCTATCGAGGTGCCTTTTTGACTGAAAGTAGTCAAGAGAAAGCCTTAAAACATGACAAGAAAAAACTAAAATATGGCTCAAATCGAAACTGGACAAGATCCTAGTCGCAAAGATAATCTTATTGTCTACTTTAAGCTTTGCGCCACAAATCAATCAACGTCCGAATATATATTTAAATAATTTCTTTCAGCAGCCGGAGTGGCGCAAGCTACCGCCCGGTAAATACATACAATCCATCCATCCAAATATCCATCCTACAATAGAATACATACATATTCTGGGAGTGCTCTGGTCGCCTACAGGATGCCTCGCGAGAAAAAGGAGTAGATTGACGAGTGCAAATCGCTAGGCAGAAGTGGCGTCCATTGAGCTCAGCACGTTCGTCTTGTCAATACGAGGCCTAAAACGTGAAGAGCGCTCGGGCTAAGGAGTGAGAAGCAAGGTAGACTCCGTGTGATACTACCAAGGCTTCAATGAGGAAACGAGGTTCGTCTCAATTTAAGCAGCATAACAATAATAATAATAATAATAATAATCCTTTATTTATTTAGTGTCCCAAAACAACCGTGAGGTTTTAATCTGTCGGCACATACGCAAAAAAAAAAAGGACTTAATGAGACATTGTTTTAGGCATGGTACAGCAGTATGTCAAGATCACGCTTGAAGAAAGCAAAGTCACGGAAAATATCAAAAGATGATGACGCTAAGTCGTTCACTGAAATTTGCATGCAAATTAACGGTGTCAGTCTGTCCTTCAAGGACGGGTAGAATACAGAGTGCTTTCTATAGACGGGAGCAGGTGCGTGGAAATGTACAGAGCTTAGCACGTCAGCATTACACTGACCATGGATCACTTTGAGTAAAAATATAATATCACGCGAGAGGCTACGTGTCGATAAATTTTGTAAGCTTAAAGTGGTAAGAATATATTCGTAATCATGATAACACCTTTTATTAAAAAGCCTGTCGTACACAATGCCAACAAACCGTTTCTGTACGGATTCAATTCGTGACGCATCAAAGGCCGTCAGCGAGTTCCATATCACACTACCAAACTCAAGTTTAGCACGTTCTAGACAAGAAAATAAGCGAACAATGCATAAAGGATTCTTGAAGTCTCGAGACAAGCGAGATAACAAACCCAGCATTCGCATGGAAGAGGAGACAATTTGTGTGACATGATAAAAAAAAGAAAGTGTGGCATTAAAAAAGATCCCAAGGTCACAAACCACAGTGACTCGTGCGATTGTGGCAGACTGGAATACGTAAGTGTGAGATAGTATATAGCGCTTTCGAGATATTGACAGAACGTTTGTTTTGTTTCGATTAATATGCGAAAACTTTTCAGAGCACCACTCATATACACGTAGTATATCGGTTTGTAGAAGACTGCAGTTGTAGGATGACCGTACATTCAAAAAAATCTTATGTCGTCAGCAAACATTAGTAAGTGCGAATTTCGTACGCACAATTACAGGTCCTTTACAAAGACGAGAAATAGGAGAGGTTCAAGTTAGATCCCTGAGGGACTCCAGGTGTTAGCTCAAAAGTATCAGAATAGCTGTCTGAAATCCTAACGGTGCTCTGACGTTCAGTCAAATACGTCTTGAACAAAACCAATAGTCCAGGTGATACTCCGTACTAGGATGATTTATACAAAAGGAAATCATGGCTCATTTTTTAAAAGCCTTAGTCATGTCGAAATACACACTATTGACCTGACCACGGGAATAAACTATAGGAACTGTATATTCAAGAAACGAACAGAGATTCGTTTCCACAGAGCGACCCTTTAATTAGCCGTGTTGTAAACTGCTAAATTTCTGTCGAAAATAATAGGAATCATGCGAGTAAATAACCATCTCAAAGACCTTTGAAAAAGCACACAATAAAGATATAGGTCTGTAGTCGTTTACTTTACACACAACGCAACTTTTGTGTATCGGAACAACAACCGACCTTTTCCATGAGGCTGGAAAAACGCCAGTTCACTAAGAGAGGTTAAATATGTGTTCTAAAAAGGAGCTATAACATTCGCACAACCCTTTAGAATAAAGATTGGAATCATATCTATCCCTACTGACAACTTTGACTTTAGTTTCATTATTGCTTTTAAAATATCATCTGTGTCAACATGAGCGATGGCCAAAGAATTGTGGCAACCTAGATTGTTAACTTTGGCACTACCTGAAAATAGACTTGAAGAGTGGCACTCTTAAAAAATTCCTTGGAAAAGGTTCGCGACTTCTAAAGGAGATGTGTAACCAGTGTCAGTCCGTAAATATACAGTGTTAATTGCTTCCCGCGTCTGCTGCTTGACAATTTACCAACACGCCTCCAAAGTTCCTCGAGAGAAGCAACGTCGAAAAGGTGTCGCATTTCAAAATAGTCTGCAGCGAAAGGCAACAAACACAACCCCGTTTTTTTTAAAATAAAACTTTGGTTGGGGCTAGGTGGTTCACACAAGCTTGCCGTACGCAATAGTTCGGGTGGTTATCTTGCGGAGCACTGCAAATGATGTGGGGGCGAACCTTTGTTAGAGCGCAAAAGGTTTATTAAGAAAGGGAATGAGAATATGCAAAGAGAATTAATCGAAGCTTTCTGTATACACAGAGCGGCTGACAGATGCGTAAGCATGCCCCCCCCCCCCCCCATCTCTCTATCTACAAAACAAAGAAATTGTGTTTCTTGAGGGCTGTGTGTAATGAGTGATAGAAACTTTTATCAGTTGCATGTGTTTAGGCAATTAGGTTCGACGTTTTGACGATGATTCGTGTTTCATTAAATCAGATTGAAGTTGGCGCCTGGCCGTGTCGTACGTGTGTCTTTTTTCGTCCTGTTTTGTTCGCGCCTTTTACCT